CACTGTTATATTTTACTGCACATAGAGCCTTCTGTCTCTTCATGCAGTAAATAGGAAGCTATGAGGTAAACAAAACAATGAGGGCTCATTGTTCTATTCTGCAAGTATTTAAATAGAAGTGTTCTAAAAAGGATAAAGATTCCTGAATTTGTGCTTTGATTCAGTTAAAGAGGATGGAGCAGAAACTCCCCAGCAATTGTCTTGGCTCCCTGTTCCCTGGCGTGCCTTCAGAAGCTATGGCCTGCCTCTTCTACTTCAGCAGTGTTGATGACATTGAAAACTCATTAATGAAGCTCCATTCCCCAGGCCCAACAGCAATTTACATTGCATAAATGAAACCAACAGCCTGGAAAAGAGTGCCCTGTGTGAAAAGGCAGCTGCTCTGCTTAGTGGCTCAGCTTGGAGATTAGTTGGTTCTAAGTTTCTGAATTCTCAAAATGAAGGCTCTGGTGTCAATGTTTTTTTTTCAAATGAGATATTTTATTCTTATGCATTACTAATAAGTTTGGGGGGAGGAAGCAGTGAAGAAAGTGAAAAAATAGAAACCCTGCCCCTGGCATCCAAGTCCTAATATGTTCACAAACCACAGTTTCTTTTTTTCCACAAAGCTTCCAAGAAGTGTTTGATTACTACTTTTTTAAAAATTAATTTAAGTTTTATTTTTTATGTGTGTTTCTGTTTTGCCATGGATGTTTGTTTTTAAATTTTAAATAGCTTGTTTTACATGTCAATCTCAGTTCCCTCTCCCTCCCCTCCTCCTGCACTCCCCATCCCCCCCAACCTCCCACCCTATTGCCAATTCCTTCCACATAGGGGATATCTAGAGTCTGTCCAGGCACTCTCCTAAGAGTCCAGGCTGAGAGAGCATCCCTCTTTGTGCTGTGGGTACACGATGTCTGTTTGTATTCCAGGGATAAACACTGATCCACTGCTCAGGGCCCCATAGGTTGCCCAGGCCTTCTCGCTGACACTCACATTCAGGGGCCCAGATCAGTCCCATGCATGGATGTTGAAGAGCAGTCAGTCCTCTTAACAACTGAGCCATCTCTCCAGCCCCAACTGCTACTTTTTTTTTTCCAGTTTAAATTTAGATAAGAAACGAGGTTGCTTCACAAGTCAGTTCCAGGTCCCTCTCCCATTCCCTCCCCTCCTCCCGTGCCCTCCCCCAACCCCCCCCCGTTATCCCCTCATTCCCCCAGGGAGGGTGAGGCCCTCCATGGGGGTGTCCATAGTCTGTCATTTCATATAGGGCAGGGCCTAGACCCTTCCCCAAGAGTTCAGGGTGAGAGTGCACCTCACATTGTTCTATGGGAGTCCAAAGTCCGTGTGTATACTTGGGATGGGTACTGATCTGCTGCCCAAGGCTCAATAGATTCCCTAGGCCTCCTCATTGACACCCATATTCAGGGGGTATTGATCAGTCCCATGCTGGATTCCCATGCTGATGCCTGGGATTCAAGAGTTAACCTTTGTCTAGTCAGCTGTTTCTGGGGGTTAAACCAGCCCAGTCTTAATCCCTTTGATCACCAGTCCTCCCTCTCTGTTACTGGCTTTCTTGAGTTCAGCTCAGTACTTAACCAAGGGAGTCTGCCTCTTCTTCGATCAGCCACTAAATGAAGTTTCTGTTTCCCAGACTCTCTGGCCATAGGATTGTAGGCTGGCACTCCCCAGATCTATGTCTATAATCCATATATGAGAGAGTACATGCCATGTTTCTCTTTTTGTGACTGGGTTACCTCACTCAGGATGGTTTCTTCTAGTGTCATCCATTTGCCTGCGAATCTCATGATTCCATTATTTTTTTCTGCTGAATAGTACTCCATTGTGTAGATGTACCACATTTTCTCTATCCACTCTTCGGGTGAGGGACATCTAGGTTGCTTCCAAGTTCTGGCTATTACAAATAAAGCTGCTATGAACATAGTGGAACAGACATCTTTGTTGTATGAATGGGCATCTTTTGGATATATGCCTAAGAGTGGAGTTGCTGGGTCTACTTTTTAATGGATATTTAGGGGTTAGTTTCATTTCTGTGGACACACAAGTTCCTATGTAGGAACTACATTTTCATGTAACTCAAAACGTTTACCCATTGATCGAGAGTGCATCGCAAAATGGGTTTTTATTGTCTTAAGTAACGAAATACTCTAAAGAGCAGCAGCTCACCTCTGCAAACCTCAACTTCAACTTCCTGAAATTCTGAACCAGCATCTGCCTAGCCATTTCATCCCTGCCTCTCCAGATAATTATTTGCCTTACGGCAACCCACTTTCAGGATCCCCTCTTCCCACTACACCTCCAGTCCCCTGATGTGACCAGGATCTCCTGAGATCATTCCTGAAGCAGAAACACTCCCACGTAATATGAAGTCAGACAAATTTGGACATCTAATTTCTCAATGGAAACTCTAAAAGCCAGAAGGGCCTGGCAAGAGAAGTTCTACAACTCCAAGAAACAGAGACTAATAGATCTGTATGAGTTTGAGGTCAGTCTGTTCTGCATAGTGAGTTCCAGGACATCCAGAGCTAAAAATCTGATGAGATGGTTAGATAGATAGATAGATAGATAGATAGATAGATAGATAGATAGATAGATAGATAGGTATGTAGTTAGGTAGGTAGGTAGTCAGGCAGGCAGGCAGACAGACAGATTGATCTTTTAAGATCTAGAGACGGAGGGTGACAGCAAGGAAATAATGCCTTCAGATACAACAAGACTGAAGCACATATGAATTTCCAGAAAATATAGGCAGTAGGCATGTATGCTGTACTTAAGCATCAACTCACCTTCCCCATGTACACTGAAATATTTGGCAAAAGACATTAGTTCTAATACCCAACTACTAAGCTATCTCTAATTGACAACTGCTCACAAAGGAACAATTAGTTTTTCCAAGGATGTCTCACTGGGTACGCAATCTATACTTAAGGGCAAGCCCCATGCCGAGCAATCATTGGCCAACACAAAATGAACTCAAAGGTATTTTGGAGATATTTTTGTCTCATTTTGTTTTCTTCGTTTGATTTTTTGTATAGTATGGTTTCTGCTTTTGTGTTTTTATGGGTTTCCTCTGTGTGAGTGTGAGTGTGTATATGTGTGTGCATGCTTACGTGTTTCTCTTGTATTTTCTTGTTTATTTGTTTGTTAGTTTGTTTCTTTTATTCTTGTTTGTTTGCAATTTCTACTTGCCTGTTTGTTTTCTTAAGCAAGAGACATGGAGCTTGAAAGATGGGCAGTTGGGGAGAATTTTGGATGCGATGAAGGAGGGGAAACTGATCAAAAAGCTTTCTTTATACTTAGGAAAAGAGACTATTCATGGACCATTTTCCATGTGATATATATTTAACAAATTCCAAAACTTGTGAACTAAAGGCCAAGTTCTTACTCAAATGGAAACGTATCTCAAAAAGGGATAACAATATTTAAAAATCATATAAAATTATACTTACATATCACTGACTTTTATAAATGCTAAGGTCATGTTTGTTCTATAAAATTAAGTGAATGTGCCAAACTAAGGAAGAGTAATACATGCCAAAGGTGTAAAATACAGGTGTAGTACCAATAGCCTTTTACATATGTGCACTTGAGCATTTAACAATTCAGGGTGCAGATGACTATTCCGTTATTTTATATAAAGGAATAGCTATTTAAGTGTATGCAAGTTAATTGAAATGCATGAATTTTGGATTTAGAAAGGTTCATGTTTGAGTGACTACATCAATCTCAGAGCTAATTTGCAAGGTCTATACAATGAAGCACTTTTTATTTAAATAATGAAAATGAAACCACACTAAGAGATACCTTGAATGGAAATTACTGATGGGACATTGACACATAATATATGCTAAAAGAATACCATAATTATGAGTTCATGTTTTATGCTCTTTGAAGGAAGACAATTATTATGTACTGTGAATATGTCAGAAGTATGTAGGCCAAGAATGAGAACTATAATCTTAGGCAAGCATGGTGTTACAGAGGATGAACCAAAAATTTTTAAAAGTAGTCATTATTATGTTAATTAAGTTGACTCTGTGGATGTTAGTCACACATCATTTAAAACTATGTATTAAAAAGTTGGACTGCAGCATTCCCAGGCAAAAACATTGACTTATGACAACTTAAATGATTTTGTAGAATTAATGACAGTAGAATTAAAATTGTATTTATCATTTTGAAATTGCGAAGGTAACCACCAGGTGGCGCACCATGAATTGAGTCTGTGATAGTCCACAGAAAATTGATTAAGTGTGTCAAATTAAGGAAAGTAGTGTACTCTTTTTCTGAGTATGTTTAACTAATTTCTTTGTAATAGTTAATGAATTTTTAAAATAATAAATTTCTATTAAAGATGAAATACAAATGAATTGAGTAGCATGCGATTTTGTTTTGTTTTGTTTTTCTTTTCATTTTTTGAGTAAGAGTTTCATTTTGTAGCTCTGCCTGTCCTGATACTCACCTTATAGACCCCAAGCTAGTCCCAGACTCACATAAATGTGCCTGCCTCTTTCTCTAGCGTGCTAGGATTCAAGGAGTGTGCCAATACTCCCAGCTTGACTAGCTTAAGATTTCTGGTAAGATGAATTTTAAAAATAGTTACAGTTTAGTGTGTGTGTGTGTGTGTGTGTGTGTGTGTGTGTGTGTGTGTGTGTGTGTGCTGTAAGTGCAGTGCAATGCTGTGATGTGAGTGCAGAGGTCAGAGGACAACTTGTAGAGTTTGATTCTTCCCTTCCAATATGTGGGTCCCAGGGATCTAACTAAGGTCATCAGTATTAAGGGAGATCATCTTCAGTGGAAGAATTTTAAATTCAAGGACATTTTATTTAAGTAACTTTACAGTTTACTAAGGACCATGTTGCAATAATATATTGTCAATATATGTGACTATAATTGAAATTGAAAACTTAGAAAAAATGAGTCCTATTAGCCTACTTGTCATTGACAACTTATCTAATCCTTGTTTTCATTTGTTTGTTTGTTTGTGTCTTTCACCCCAGTACCTGAAACTAAAAAAGGTGAAAAGATCTCCAAACCAGGTAAGGTTACTGGTTGTCACTTGTGTAGGAATAGATGGTCTTTTAGATAAAGGATGGTTTATAATCAAGGCAAAGTAAAGCTGTGAGCCTTCCCAGATAAACAAAAATAGAAGTCTACCTTCCAGGTATATTTAAAGTTTACAAGCAATAAGATAAAACCGAACTATTTTTTTAAATAAAACCTATGCTATTTGGAGATGGTTATTGAGTATGGCCATTAAATCAACAAGAACCATTACCAACCACTTCTTCTTCTTTATACACATTTAAACTATTTAAGAACTCATTAACTATAAGAAAAAAAATCATTAATTTTAACTCATGCTCACAGATCTGTGATATGCTTAACATGGGGGGATATTTTGCATTAAAAACAATTTTGCAGATAAGAGAAAAATAAAAAATAAACATGAATAACATTTTAATAAAATATAATCAACCAGTAAATTAATGAGAACAGAGAGCACACTCGGAGACACTACCATATGTCTGCAATTGTGTTGATAATTACAAAATTTACAAACATGTGAGAAGACGGTATTTTCTTTCAAAAAGTTATAATCATGAACCACTTCAACCTGGGTACAATATTAGTGAAGAGTTTTTAGGATGGTAGATAATGGAAGCATTCCAATAGTGTGTCATCATCAGTAAAATCCTCATGGAAGTGGTGTGTTTAAACTCCAGTTTTGCAATACATAAGAGTCTCTGTGATAGGAAATTTATTACAGCAATGGTGGAGACACTGTTGACTTCATGTTGGAAAGACATTTACTTGACTGTCTTTGCCACTTGTTATGGATGCAATTTAATAATGACTTACTGCTTCTAAAGTTCAATTTCCTTATCGTTTTCATGAAAATTGTCATACTCACCCATGAAGCAAGAGAGATGTTGCTTGCCACTTGAGTTAACTTCAATATGCCGTAGATGTATTTAGAAGGGAGCCTAGAATCAAGGTTGAGTCTCATATTGATTGGAGACCTGAGTCAATGAGATGAATGGAAAATGGAAAGAGTGCAGGAATGAGATGCAATCACATAAAAAGTGTTCTTGAAATCCAGACCTGGGGCTGAGGACCCAAAACAAAATTGGGATCCTTGAGGACCTGAGTAAGGAGCAATGGTATTGAGAATTATAACAGCACACAGAGTAACATCATGTAGAACTATTTTTAATTGTGGACTTGAGCACAAATTATTTATAATAATGAAAATAACCACAATGGAAGTTTGATATAGGCATGATATTAAGATATTTCTGATAAATTATTTATTCTTTAGTTAAGGTCTTTATTGCTGTGAAGAGATACCATGACCACAGCAAATCTTATACAAGAAAACATTTAATTGGGGCTGGCTTACAGTTCAGAGGTTTAGTCCATTATCATCATGACAGGAAGCATGGTGGCATGCAGCCAGACATAGTGCTGGAGAGTAGCTAAGAATTCTACACCTGAATCAGCAGACGACAGCAAGAGAGAGTGACTCTGGCATCAGAAACTCCAAAGCCCGGTGTCAGTGACACACTTCCTCCAACAAGATTACTCCTACTCCAATAAGTCACACCTCTAATAACGCCAGTCTCTGGTAATGCATTCAAATCTATGAGCTTATGGGGGCCATTCCTATTTAACCAACCACAACTTTCAAAATGAATTACAACAATGACTCATGTTCAGTATGGAAAGATTCCTTAAGAATCATTCATTCTTGGAACCCATTGAAAATGACTAATGATAATTTGTCATATATTCCTCTAGGAATATGAATGAAGACATGTTCAGAACAACATTATTCTCCTTGTATTATGCTATTGTTGTTTCTGTCATTAGGAAGATAATTCCTGATCAAAGAATAGATGCACATGACTGTAGTATTTTTATAGCTTCAAGGTCTCAAGCATGAGATGCTTCAGCAGGTGTCAATTATACAAGTTGCAATCGTGAAATGGAAGAAGGCATGACATCTGCATAGAGGGAATCTTCAGACCCTGGAAAATGAGTCATAATGGCTTTGAATGCTTGGACTATATCCATGAGTGAAGAGGTTTGGAGTAGAAGACAGGAGAAAACAAAAGCATTATTTTAAAACAATGAAAATGGAAAGAGAAAAGACCTAGAAAGGGCTGCTTTTGGAAAAGTAAACAATGTGGAAAGGAAGCAGAAAGGGCCTTAGTAGGAAACCAGGCAATAAATAGTTCTGGGGTCCCAAAGCGTAACAGAGACATTTTCAAGATAGAGTCGAAATGCCAACAGTTAGAACCAAGGTCTCTCTCATAAAGGTGAAGAGGCAAGATGACAGAAAAACAATGGCTATTATACTGACGAATAAAGCTGTCATCCCATGACCTTTGAGAAGATGCTTTTAGAAGGGTGGTGGGAGCAGAAACCTGACTACAGGAGTTAACAGGGGATTTCATCCTTTGTAACTGAATCAGAGCAGGGCAGCTCTGTGTAGCCACTTTATAAATCAGGGAAACAGTGAGATACCTACACAGGAAAAATTTGAAATATTGCATATTTTCTTTAGGAGGGTTAATCTCAAGAAGAGGAGAAGCAATAAGTCCACAGAGAACAATATTAATTAGAGGTAGTGTTGGGGTCTATACTAGAAGTGAAGAGAAATATTTTAATTAAGAGAAGAAAAATTTCCCCTGAGCTTGGGGGACATAATGAAAGAATAGTTTAATCTGGAAGAGTGCATATGAGGATTAATAATGAAGAGTGTGTAAGAGTGTGTATGTTTGGTGCTCTTTTCTTCTAAAATATTTGTGATGGTTACCAACGTGTTTATAACAAAATCTAAGATAGTATTGTTTCTCAATATAGCAACAACTCTGGAAACCATCAGATAATATTTTCCAACTTCCTTATTAATTAAACTGCCTTTCTTAAGAAAATTAAACTATTTATGCCACAGTAATTGAAAATAAATCAAGTACAAAAGATGACCAAATTTCTAACACTGGTGAAACAGTAATATGAGTTGTTTTCATATAGTCGACTGATAGTAAATGTGAGTATATGTATTTTATAAGGTAATTTATAAATAATTAATTGTTACATTCGAGAGAGATTCACAGCAACTGAAAATAATAAACTATTAAAAAGACATTTTAAATTCTGCATCTTGTGAAGCTCTTTTAGTATTGGACACTTGCTAACTGCAAATGATATGGGCAAATATTAGTAAAGGGTACAAAAATTCAGTTGTACAAGATGAGTTTTGGAATCAAAAGCTCAACATAACAAATTTTATGGATATGTCTGGATACACATCACATCCACACATTGAAAAATTAATTACCTGTGTGACATATCAAGAGGTAGCATATTTAGAGATATCTGATGTTAGTATCCTCAAAAAGAGATCTCAGAGATCTACCTTGTTCCTTATGTTACCAGAATACATAACAGAAATCCAATCAGATACTTAATGTACCAGTCAATGAGCCCCTTGAACTGGGGCTTACATCCCAGCTTTCAAAATGTAAAAAATACAATTTTGTTTTTTATAAGGCATGCAGTATGGTGTTTTAGAACAGCCAAAACAGAGTAAGGCAATGACTAGAGTCAATAAAAGCAAAATATATATACTTAAACTTTTTCAAGAGATTCTAACTTAGGTATTATTAACTTAATACTTAAGAGTACTAGCTTATTATTACAAAAACAACCCCACAGGAATTCCATATATGAGGTGATATATATGTAAATTAGTTTGATTTTGGGTAAGCATTTCACAATTTATACACACACCAACATCAACACATTACAATCTATGTCATATATACATATATATGTATATATATACATACATATACATACAACATATGTATACACAATTGTTTTCTTGTGAAAGCAAAATGTTGGAATCAAAGTAGGAAAATTTTTCACAAAGGGCTTTGCCACAATAGGAAGCGACTATATATTTATTAAGAAAATAATATTCATATGAAAACTCATGTTCTATAATCACATACACAAGTTCTGTATGCAACTCACCTTGCTTAAAATCAAAAGCAGCATTTCTTCTGTTTTCCTTTTCTTTTGTTCTTTATTTCTGCAAATGACAATCAGCATTCACTATCAGTTGCACTGATTTAAACTTCTCCGAGTCCCTTTACCCTTCCTTCTTTTCAAACTCACCATTCATGTAGGTACCACAATCTGCATTGTCCACAATGTCTACCAGTTTGTTTTCTACTCATTCTTTTTCTTGACTATGCCTCTGACTCTTGTCTGAGAACACATATAAAGCCATTAACTAATCATTCTTGTGTTTATTGCTTAAAGTTCTACCACCAATCTGCCAGTTTCCTTTGCAAAATGGTGTCTGCCATGAACAAAAAGAATGATATCATGAGCAAGATACTAGGTTACTATGCTCTATGACTACCTCATTACATCTCCTCAAACATGCTTCCTCTTATATTTACACACACATGCATACACACACACACACACAGAGAGAGGAGGGGAACAGAGAGACAGAATGATGTGATTTTATAAACAGACAACAGCAATCAAAAATAAAATAAAACACAATTGTATGGAGAATGTTCAGGTTTTGTGAACACACAACACACACACACACACACACACACACACAATACAAGTTGCTCATAAACTATATCCAAAGAAGGAGATGTAAGTCATCTCAAAACAAGAATAATTATTTTTTTGCTTATTTTTAAATACTGCATTTTAATTATGTTTCTCCCTTCCCTTCCAAACTTGCCTCCAAACTCTCCCACATATTCTTCCTTGATCTTTTTCTGATTCAAGGATGCATGTATGTATTTGTATATACAAATATACTCCTAAATATAACCTGCTGAGTCCATATAATGGTCTTGTTTCTATGTTTTCAGCGATAATTGTAGGCATCAGGAAACCCATTCGTGTGCTCTTCCCTGGGGAGGGTCACCTCTCCCACTCCCAGCTTCACTGAATTGCCTCTAGTTCTGTGTGATGGGTTGAAGCCTCCTGGGCTTTT